TTTTTTTTTTTTTTAAGCTGAGTTGATGTCTTTAGTCCAGTGCTGTGAAGTCCTGAGCTGTTTTTAACATTTCAAAGGATTGTGCTGCAGGAATGTGCAGCCTCGGGACATGTATCTACTGACAGGCCCTGTTTCACCTGCCCAGTGTTGTTCATAAAGTATCTTGCCATCTCTGTAAAGTCTTTGTAAGTGCTTTTCAGACTAGAGATTAATTTAAGCACATAACTGCTTTTCTGAATAGATATATTTTTATGAAGTTGAGCACATGTATGAGAAACCCTTTAGGGTCTTTCCTGGCTGCGCAGTAAGTGTAAAACTAAGATTTAGATTTTTTGAGTCTGTTTTATTCTTTAAGAATTCTACCATGGTAAAAATTCAGTGGCAACATGACAGGGACAGGGTTGCCTCATTGCCATTCAGTAGTCTTAGTTGAATTTGGTCTGCACTCAAGTCTTGCATCACTTCCACACCTGGAAATCTCTAATGATGTTAATGAAGTTACTGCTGATTTACATGAGTATGCATAAGGGGGGGAAAAAACCCCAGACTATAAATCTGCCTGGCTTTAAAGAGCTTTGCAGAGGCTCTGAGTGGAAGGATGACATTGTGATATCATAATGGTCACTAGGCAGTTAAGGTTTAATAACGTTGGGAAAACAGTGTTTATCTGCTTTATAACTAAGAAACAATTACCAGACTAATTTTGCTCTTGAGTAATAATCGTTTGGAAGAGGATTGGATCTCCAGCAGCAGTACTGGTTTTCTCTGTCTTCTAAGATGGCTCCAACTGTAATTGCTCTTCTTTCCTTAGAGCATTTTCTTTGATGCTCTCTGACAAGCACTTACTACTTTCAACCTTAACAATAGATTTAGCAAACCTTGCTACACCCAATTTACACCTTGGGAATATACATGGAAAGGTCCAGCTTGTGACAAAACCAGGCCCATTGGGGAGTGACACTTGCAAGAAAGTGATTTTTAATTGTGTAATTGGCAAGCTGCAAAATGCTGGCCTGTAAGACAAATAGGTAAAACCAATTTGAAACTAGATGAAAAGGAAGCTTAACTGATGAGATATGTACTCTGATCATTTGAGTCGGGTGACTTCTCTAGGAATATTTCTTCTTACCTAATAAATCTAGGTAGAGAAAAAAGCCACAAGAATAACAGCAGAAAATTGCATAATCACTACAAGTTGGATCACAGCATCTTTAAAAGCCTTGAAAAGTCTGTAAAGACTTAAAAAGATCAACCTAGTCTTGTATTGATCTTTACCTTGCGACACAAAATTCTGTAGTATTATTGCCTGTAGCTGTTAGATGTTGCTGCATTCATTGTTCCATAATATTTTCAGGAGTATCATGTTTATAATCCAAAATGCTTTGCAGAGTATTAGAACAGAGATTCCTGGGCTTGAGATGCTGCTGTATCTAAGCACAGCAGCCATGCCACAATAGTAACCCTATAAAGCCTTCATGGATGAAAGTGAAACTAGTGCAAATTTAGTTAAAACTGCATTAAACAGCAGTAGGTTAAATAAATGCCATAAATGACCCACCAACCTGTGTGCTTCAAGCCAAGTTAATTATTTCTAAGATGGGTGATAGCAGAAGATGCTTTCTGAGGTTGAAAGTTGAATATACACTCACCAGAAGGGTTAGCTTGCACCGTTTTCCTCATCCATTCGTAAGAGCTGTGCCTTTGGCTGTTGGGAGAGATTTGCTGTGCATTAATTGTGTCTGCAGGAGGTAACCCCCCAGCTCCAGCGGGATGGAGGGAGCTGTAATCAGCAGAGCTGTAGGAGACCTGTCCGGGCGAGGAGCCGTTGAGCTGAGCAGCAGCCACCGTGCTGGAAGGTCCTGGGCCGTACGCGCTCCAGTCCTCCCGCTGGGGGCCGTAGGGAGACCCCCAGGTCCCCGCGGGCTGCCCCTGGCTCTCCAGGCTTGGCACGGGGTGGTATCCCATGTAGTCCGAGTAGGGTGGAGCAGACACAAAGTTTTGCACTGGGGGGTTGTTGTTACACCTTGCAGATCCTGGATACATGCTGGTCTCCTTATCCAAGAGAGAGCTCACGTACATGATGCTTGCAGGTCTTGTCACAACATCTTGTTCTTCCTTATTTCCTTGCACTGTTTAAAAATAATTGTTTGGTTTTCTCTAATAATGCCCCTCTGCTTGGAATCTTCTACTTCATCCTCTTTTATTACCAACTGCGTTACCAGGTGCTGGTGGTAATGGTTTACCAAGATCTTGTCTGACGTCAGCCTTAACTGCCTGCCTCATAATTACATTTACATTCAAATGAAGGGCTGACCAACCCCACCTTTCTGCCAGTTCTGGTGCTTTCTCTTTTGGAGAACTTTTATCTATGCTCTTACCCTTCCCTGATATCCAACAGCAATTCCAGTACTGTAAGATGATGCAACAGTCGCTCCTATTTGTAACTTAGTAAATAGACCTTTTTTGAGAAAAGACAGTGGTCACTATAATAGCATTCTTTGATGTTCAAATTCTTCTTTTCTGAAACCTCAATCTCGTCATGTGTTATCAACCAAGAAGTAAATCTGTTACTCTTAATTTCTCATATTAAAAACAATCTCATTTTTACTTCTTAAATTAAGGGACACAACTGGAGTAATTGTGAGTAACTTCAGAATACTGAGCACCTCGTAAACGGCATGTCTTGAATGTAAATGTCTCAAATTTTCCCCTCACTATTCATGTTTGTAAGTTGTTTTTCAGGCTCCAACTGCAATGCACATGCTCTCATTCTCCCCACAGAGAGTGATGTAAAGAGATCCTCCCATCTGGTGACCACTGCAAACGGGTAAAATTTAAAAAGCAGACAATAAATCTTCCCGACAAAGATGCTGCCAGAAGTACAAAGAAGATGACTGTAAAAAGTAGTGAAAAAAGTCTTTGATTAGGCCCAGTAATACTGTTGTCTTCTGTTTCAAACTGAAGACAACCTTTATCTGCCTGAAGGGCTGGGTTCCTTCCTCTGAAACTGCCGGGCAGCTGTCTGCTTGCAGTGAGGGCAGCTTAGGTGAGTGAGATCAGCAAGGAGAGACATCTGGGTTGTGGAGTTTGTGGATCAGAACTGCCCTGATGCTTTTCTGTAAAGCTCCTGACACATGGGTGCTCTATAGGTCAGTGTAAGCGTTGCCCCTGAGGAAAATTTATTATTCTGAAGGTGCTATGAAAGGCTTGACATTGACGTGGGAGAACTGAACCATCCCTTACTTGAGAATCACCTCTATATGCTTGTCTAGCTACAATTTGTAGTGTGAATTTGATATATTTTTTATCTTTGTTGGATTTCTTTGCAAGGAGCTATTTGTCAAGGGGTATGCTTGCAAAAGAGGTGCAAATTACAATGAGTTGTTTCCCTTTACAAAGGTGTGGTTTTTCATTCAGTATCCTTTGTATTTTGACACTACTGGTATTCACACATCCCTTCTAATTCCAGCTCTAAAGGATTCAAAGTGTGTACTTCAAGGCAGGAAAGATTCCTCTTCTGGTTTGGTTGTTTTTTTTTTTTTAGGAAAGAATTTTCAATTGAGAAGTGTAGCAAAATCTTCATCGCTCGTTGTGCTGCATTTACAGATTTCTTTATTAATCTTATTAGTCCTAATAATCCATCCTGATAATGTTTAGGAAAGTTGCATCATGGGAAAAGTAAGGCCTTCAGAAATTGGTGCACCCTTATAAAAACAGACACTAAAAAAAATCAGCAGAGACTTGTTCCCTTCATCTCAAAAGGAAAGGAATTGTAATGCAATTTTTGAGAGCATGCAGATTTTTAGTACTGATGTGTACCAAGAAGAACAAGGTGCTCCAGTGAGCACCATCCAAATTAAAGCAGCTTTGTTGCCTGTATGGGAAATATCCTTGGAATCTTTGGCCTATTTGTGGGTGTTATGCCAGCTGCTAAATTCCAATGTATTGCAAAACGTTCTGCAGAGCTGTCAGACACGGGCAGATCCCTGGGGGGGTGAACTTCTGTTTCCACTGACTACCTGAAATCCATTGGCATAGGACCAATGAGCACTGGCTGCTCATAGAGCTCAGATCAGACACAGTGTTTGACTTCTGAGCTCACCATTTTTACGTCTTGGTGACTGACATTTGATTTCATAGATACTGGTGGTATTTTTAATCCCTGCTCCTCCTCTTTCTTATGAAAACTCTTCTTTTATGCCTCTGTGCATACCCCCCACAATTTCAGTATCACCTAATCCTATTTTTTGTATCTTAGAGCTTTATCCTTTATTCTCTGTTCTTCTTTTATCTTTTGTTTATGCTCCTCCTTTCCCTTTCTTGTTTTGCCTGTTCCATTATCTGAATTTTCTTCAGATCTATTTCGATTCTTTCCAGAACATAATTAGATCAAGATACACCGATGGCGAATTGCTGCACTGATTTGATATCAGCTAACAATAGTAAGCTTTGAATAAGGCATTTTGTTTAAAAAAAAAATAATTTACATAGCAGGATAAGATTGCTGGGTAGCACTGCAGATTTTTGACACCCAAGTGAGAATAAGATAACTAAAATGGCAACATTGAAATGATCTTCTGCACCCTGGCTCTTACACCTCCCGTTTTGTGTAACGCAACCATGTGGATGTGTTAAAAAAACCTGTACCTTTGTGTGTACTCTAGGAGTTTGAGGCTACCAAAATCTGGGAGTTGATTTTATAATTTTTAGTCCGAGTCTGCCTTCTCAAGAATCATTTCTTGGCTGTGCATGTGTCCTTCCTGCTCAGATCCAGCCTGTCTGTGGCTTCAGAGCCTCAGAAGCACTGCAGCTTCAGTTATAGCAGCAACTCACACTGCAGTTCCAGGAACACTTTCAGTGGGCACTGCTGTCTGGGGAAAAAAAAGTGAACTAGCCTTGCCTTGTCCATATGTACACTGTGAGGGGATAGTAAGGAGCTGCTGGTGCTAGTGCTGCCTGTGGAAAGTGCTTGTGGAACGGTCCTGTTACCATGGGTCCTCTCCTGAGTTCCTGGGGTGGTGGGGAAGGGAGAGCAGTTCTGAGCTAGTGGGCTAGACACCCAGAAATCTCATCTGTATGGAGGTTTGTATCTGTACCATGTTCTGCAGTGGGTCATAAAGACAGAGCAGGAAAGATCTCTGTGGTATTGGCAGTGAGAGTACTATGCTTTTTGGCATCCTTCAGGGAGCTGGATTGCCAGAATAACTCAACTTCAAGGTTAGAATTGTCCTTTTTTAATTTTTTTTTTCCCTCCTCTCCATCAAGTTAAAGTGCTGTGTATGATTTATCTGCTTAGCCAGTTTCCACAGAAGTTGCCTCAGTGTTTGTTGAAGTTGTACGTGTGTAAAATTAAATGTAATTTGAGATCTTTGAGGAAGAAAATTTTCTACTTTTCTAACAAGTGGTTGATGAAACTCTAGCAATAATAAGAAGCATGGTGAAACCACTGGAACTACTTGTGTTCTGTTTGTACAGGCAGTGTAGATGGTTTACTATGGTATATGTGCTGTTTTAAAGAGCATTTCCAAACTGTATAATAATCACATAATCACAAACGTGCAATTAAATGGTTTAATGACAGCCATTATAACTGCAATTTCAGGGGCTACTGGTAGATTAAACCTGGCCTGTACAGCAATAACTTCTACTAAAGGTGTTTATGCCTGTGATAGTTTTTATTAGGAACCCTTACCCATAATGTTATTCTTCCTTTTACATGGAGATAAGACACCAATCTCTTCACCTTTGAAGCTTGAAAATGACATGAAATCTATCTGGGGTTTTGCTTTGGAGGCCAAACCAAGAGGATGAGCTTAGTGTGTCCCATTCTGACTGAGGTGAGAGGAGTAGCAGTGTGTTCCCTTGCCTCCAGCTCACCACTAATAACAACACATTGGTATCACCATGCTTAGGAATGTCTCTTGCCAGTACCTTTATAACTGCATGCTTGGAATCTCAGTGGAACAGCTACCTAAGGACTTGGGCAGTGACTGAGGATAACTGCTAGTCCTAATTTCAGAGGTGCTATGAACCTTTTATTCAAGCTGAGATCTGCATGCTCACCCATTCCTCCTAAAATTCATAGCCAGCTGTATAAATCCTGAGGAGAGGTCAGTCAGTGGCGTGCTGTGAGCTGAGGTTGGTTCTGCTGGGAAAAAATCCAACTAGTCATGCAGGCAGGTGGTTTTAAAAATGTAAAATACACAGGTAAAGAGGCTGCTCTGGCTTTCACTGAAGCTTCTACAAACACAAAGCTTCTGAAAACTTTATTTACCCTTTTAATTGAGCTGGTTTAATATGCACCCTAATAAAATGCACCCTAGTTAGGGCTGATGTTCAGGCTTGGAGTGCCAAATTCCATCTCTGTACTGATGGACGTGGCACAGCCTAGAGAGCTGAGCGAGCAGCACCAGCTGAACTGTTCACTAGCTCAGCTGACCTCTTCTGGGGAAAAGAAAAAGGGATATATCCCAAGTTTCAGTTCTGCACTGTGTGTCTTTCTCATCCTTTATGTGTATTTCTTTTTCAAAAGAGACCAACAGTAGAAATAAAAGTACCAGTTTCCATGAAACCTTCCTCTTAAAGGTTTCATTTTGATTCCATGCTCTGAAATTTTGGTTGTTAACAGATGCTTTTGAAAAATGATGAAAAGTGACTTGTGGGGAGCATGGTGATTGCATTTACCCTTTTGTCTATCCCACTACTGTTTTTCTAACTGCTGCTACCAACAACTTTCATTTCTTAATGTTAACTTTCATATTTTGTTGAAAGTAGGGACAGTATATTCCATGTGTGGTCTCCATCAGTGGTGTATTTGCCAGGAAAGAATACTCTCGAGCTGAAGGAGGGTTGTACTATTCTGCAATTAAATCCTTTAAGATCTGCTACAAAATCAATATTGGGGGTAATGAGTATGTCTTACTGCTCAACAAGCAGACCTGATACTTCATGCAAACCATGAAAAAGAACAGCAGATCCTCTATTGGTGTTTGTTTGGTTTCATTCCTGAGCCATGTGGAGTAGGGCTCCCACTTACTGTGAGTAATGCAGAAGGGATTCAGGGGTGCTCACTGTTGAGT